ATATAATCCTTATTTTCAAATATTATCAAAAAAATTTTTATTTAAATATTTTAAATTTTAAAAAAAGTAAATTATAAACAAATTTATAGCAATTTTTTAGACAGAATTGCCTACAGTTTAAGGGATAGAATGTGGTTTTAAGTCATAATTCTTTAACATGATTATCAACATTTTATTTCTATTTGTTTATTTTTGAGCTGCAATTACCTTTTTTTTTTTTTTTTTTTCTTTGTTACAGTGCCTTGAGTTAATCACTATTTTTTAATTTATATTCAAATAAATTATGTACAATAAATAATATTTTACTTACTTGTTAAATTTAATAAAAAAATACAAAGTTACATTCTTCATCACTAAATGTTGTAATATTACATTAAAAAAAATCTATTCAATTATATGTCTATATCTAGTTTTTAGCTTATAATAATAAGCCTAATTTTTATACACGATATTTAGAGTTAATTCATAGTTTAAAATAAGCACTTACAAAAAAAAAAGCAATTTGTAATAACCTGTGATTGAATTTTTAGAATTGGTTTTTATCTTTTGGCTACAAATTAAAATTAATTCTATACCTAACCAAATAAAAATAAATAAAAAAAAAAATTTGTACTGATCAATCTGTAATGTAAAGAGGTGGTTTATTTTAATTCAGAGTAGTACAACTTTAAAGGATTTGTTGTAGTTACTTAAAGGAGTAAAGGAGAATATTGCTGAGCCCAAAGGGCCTACTGATCTGTATTTTTTAAATAGTTTCTTTGGATGTATCTTTTTATATCCAAAACCAAGCACTCATTAATTGCTTGTTAAATAAAATCCTCACAACCAGGTTTAGTCCTCTTGTGCATCACTTAAGTTATTTTTTGCTGAGTTTTAGGTTCATAAATTTTTTCCATCCATGTTCTTGTAGTATACACTATATAATAAATAATAGCATACTCCTGTTTGCTATTTTGAAGGCCAGAAAAAGCTTTTTTCACACTTTTTGTTTCTATATGACTATGATCAAAAAGAAAATATCTAGGATTCCATTGATTTGTAAACTATCGAACTATAATCAAAGCCTTTTCAATGGTATTATTATTCTTATTACTTATGAAAAAATGAGCTCCGACATTCCAGCAGCTACATATATTACAAACATACAAAGTAAACAGGCAATAATCATATCTGTTTGTTTTGTGAGTTATATCGATTAATATTAGCCACCTATACTGCTCAAGATTGTTAATTTAATTGAGGTATATAAAAACAAAACTCTAAGTTGATTGGCTAGTAATATTAAAATGCTCAACTTTATACTCTTGCTTTTAAAAAAAAACAATCACTTCACAAATATCTAATTATATTTCAAATTGCCAATAAGATGTGTATTAAGAGCCTCATAAGCTTTGAGTTTTATATTTAAAACTTCCTTATACTTTAATTCTTTTATACTTTCTTCCAGACTCAGTTTTTCTGTTGTATATTTTTTTACTACATTGGTTATTTCAGATAGCTAATAGTTCTTAATGACTTCTAGTTCAACTAAGGTTTAAACAATTTGTAAACACTTTAGTTTTTTACTATCCTTCAAAGAGTGAGTATAGTCAAGTGAATTGTTAAACCATTCTACTTGAACTTTTTGCTTTATAGTATATCATGTAATTTTTATCTTGGCAAAGCACAAGCCTGCAGGCCAAACTTTGATTTTTCTATATTTTTCCAGAGATATATCTTCTTTTTATGAACTTGATAGGCTGCTTTTTGTAAAGCAACAAGTAAAAATCTTCTATGAATCACCATTAACTAGATTTTTGTAACTGAATACAGTCTATATATTTGAGACTAGTGGCCACCAGTCATTGTCAAATTCTTGTAGAGGAATTTCTAGTGACTCCCCGATATTGAAAAGAAGAAGATACCTTTGATCTGGAGTTAAAGTTCTAGAGGGAAGTGCGATAACAAGATTCATATTTATAAAAATACTCTTTTTTTTTAATAAGAAAATGTTTTTTATAAAAAAAAAAAAAATTCTCCAGTATATTAATAAAAATAATAGGTGTTCGTTTTTGTTTAAAAAAAAAACATATATAGGTGTCTTGATAATAAGAAGCCTTCTATACAACAATTGCTGGGCCTTCTATATGATTGTTTGTAGTTAAAAAAAATATATATATATGCAAGCGTTTTAATACTGTACATAATAAGAAGCTTTTATTGAAGAACTGTTCTAATTTTTTTAAACCAATTTGTTCTAATTTTTTTAACTGCTTTTCTAAAACTCTTAACTCTTTGTTCAACTTTTGTTATCAATTAGGCAGCTCAAAGTTGATTAGTTGTTTAAAATCAATATTTGGGCTCAAGCTTGAGGGGGGAGGGGGAAAATTTAAACAAACACATACTGTATACAACACAGAATATTTGAATAAATCTCATTGGCCAACTTTAACCACAAGATTATCCTGCGTCGTGATTGGCTTGTTTAATTTCTGGGGGACAGCTAAGGCGGCATCCATAATTTACATTAAACCAGTGCTGTATTGTATTTAAATAGGGAACCTTGATGATAATACCGTATGGTATTATCCTTAAACACTGGTTTAACGTAAATTATGGACACCGCCTAACCGAGAGGGGGGGTGACGTTAAACAACTATTCAACTTTGAACGGCCTTATTGATTGTTATCTTGCATATTGGCGTTAATATTGTAATATTGGCGTACGTAGTGCATAAATAGCTCTGGTATTAATATTGTTTATATATGATATACTAGGTACAAATGCACGGGAACAAATATTTATTCAATGAGTCGACCATCGTCCGGACATTATGTCGGAGCTCGCTTTGATCGTATCATCACGTGATCGAACCTGGCTTTAGCCATCCCCTATTTTAATACTCAACTATATATCTAGTTTTTTCTGAAATATGTCGGTTGATAATAATAATTGTGACAAGTTAGCAATTGACGTTCCCAATCTTAATTTCAGTTATGGAGGACCTCCTATTTTAACAAACCTGCAATTACAACTAAAAAAAGGAAACCGATGCCTGTTAGTTGGTAAGTTTTAACCAGGACTTTAAGCATTTCGTTAAAAAATATGCTACAGTGTTTAAATGTAATCGCTTTTACATTATGAATAATGAAATTTACTTTTAGGTGCAAATGGGGCAGGTAAATCTACTTTATTGACAATATTGGCGGGAAAAAGAATGGTGCGAGATAAAGTATCTGTTTTTGGAAAAGACGCATTTAAAGATGCACCATCTGTATGTATGCTATCAAACTTAGCTTAATGATTTATATTATTAATTATCGTTATTTTTAATATAGGGTATTACTTATTTGGGGACTGAATGGGCAAATAATCCAGTTATTCGTGGTGATATTTTAGTTTCCACCTTATTATCAAACATGAATGGTGACAGATATCCCGAAAGACGTGATGAGTTAATAGAAATAATGGATATCAATCCAATGTGGCGTATGCATCAAGTATCCGACGGACAAAGACGCAGAGTACAATTTGTTTTAGGTTTGTTAGAACCATGGGATTTACTGTTAATGGATGAAGTTACTGTTGACTCGGATGTATTGGTACGAACAGATCTGCTAAACTACCTAAAAAAAGAAACTGAAACGAGGGGTGCCACAATAGTAAGTTATTTAAAAAGAATTACTTCAATCTAAGCTATTTAAATTAACATTATTTTTTTACTAATAAGGTGCATGCAACACATATATTTGATGGTAAATATTCGTTAATTATTTCATAAGGTATTCATTCACTCTTCTAAAAATGAAACTTGCCATCTACTTTATAGGACTCGGTGATTGGCCTACGCATATTGCTCATATCAAGCGTGGCACGATCGTAGCTTTTCATGATCTCAATCAATTTCCTGAACTTGACAAAATGATACATCAACAACTTCAATTACGTTCTTACTATAATGAAGTTGATGATAGAACAAATCAAAAATTATTTTCATACTATCGTAAAAATATGGAATCGCCACTTTTAAAGGTTGTTGAGCAATGGTTAAGAGAAGATTTCCAGGAATTAAGGCTTCTCCAGGCTGAAGAGAGGAAAAAGGCCGAACAGGAACAGGACAAAGTATTGTTAGGTGAAGAAGTACCAAGAACAAAATGGGATGATCTTTCGGAAAATGTGAATGCCTATGGTGATAAATATTATAATTATTGGAATAATTGAATAATTATGATTCAATGAAACAACCCTGCTTTATTTAAACATAATACTGTACTTGCTGGAAGTCGGATGGAGTCGAGTTAAAAGTAGGCATGTCTTGAATGAAGGCATGCCTATAGAACACGCTAAAATTAATAGACTTCTAATATCGGAATGTCATCACAGGATCGAACCTCAATTGAAGTTACATGTTCAGCGGATTATCAACAACAATAGCATCAATTTTATAAGATCAAAAATCTTTACAAGTAAAGACTTATTGACTTTATTTTCTATAATTATTGTAACGTTAAAAAATTTTGATTAATGTAGTGATTATGTTATATGATAATCAATACCGATACAATAACTCGAATTTGAAGTTTTTATATAGGGAAAATCTGCCTTCGGCATTAGCTGTCGAAGGCAGGTTTTTCTAGTCCATTCCCCATATTGTTATAATAGTGATGCACATTAGTTATCAAACAAATCGCTTGATGTCCAGGCCACACCACGAGGAGGTTTGCATCATGTGGCCTAAAAGAATTTAAAATTAGTAATTAAAAAAAAACAACTAAGTCCACACGTCAGTGAAAACAGATTTTAACGGCATCAGAAAGAATTTTAGTGCAAATATGCAAAAATTTTTAAAAAATAAAATTCTGCACAGAATTGCATTTATTTTCTGTGAAAGGTTTGAAGATTTGCACAAATTTTCAAATTTTTTTTTGTATAAAAAAAATTTTGCAAATTTGCGTAGATTTACACTAAAAAAACGTTTTCCCGATGCAAAGGGGATTAAGAAAAGTCAATTTTATATCGGGAAATTAAGTAGGTGTAAATCTGCAAAAATCTGTATTTAGATTTTGAAGTTTTATGCATTTGTGGCTACTAAAAAAAATTCCTGATGTAAGTGTATTCGATTATCTTTAAGTTCGATCTTTCAAAAAGACCTTGAAAAAATACAGTATCAATGGTGTACCAAGTCATTAATAAAGTGATTCACGAATCAATGGTAATTCCTTCAAAGTATACAATAATGCATGGCTATTTATTGCCACCTCACGCAGCAATATGCACGTCTGAAATGTGTACCAACTACGCTTATACCACGTTTCTATATGATCGCATGACGATGTTTTACAACTTGTAATCACTACTTTAATTAGTAAAAAAAAACAAAGTTTCTAACAATGTTTGTTATTTCACCGGACTTCCGGGGAAATAACAGGCATTGCTAGAAACTCAATTTTTTATATTGACCAAAGTAGTGATTATGAGTCGTTAAGCCCGTCATGACATAATATAAAAACGAAGAATAATACCCTTTCCGCTACGGGAAATAATCCGGTAGATCTTCGGCCTGCTGGGAACCCTTCCTGCCGTTACAAGAAATAAATAGTACTAATAACAAAACGAGATGCTAAATATGAGATGTTGAAAGTGCGAACACATAAGAAAACTGATCAGTAATTCGTCCGGTACTACCGAATTAATTTAACTTCTCCAAATTTATGTGAAAGTAGATGGTACAACAGGCGGAAAAGAAGAAAAAAAATTAACAACGATAAGGAAAGAAAGTGGTACGTACTGTATATAGCATAGCAGAAGTTCGTTTTAATTGGCTAAAATTTGAATAAATATGATTGGCGATGATCATTTATTTATACAGT